GAACTCTTAATCTGGCTTAATACCTCAACTGAACTCTGCGCTTCACCAGAGTCGATATTCAGCTACAATGGCTCGTATTTTCGCTCATTGCTCATATTTTCTGTTATTCATTTCATAAACCCTATCAAACCATCCTAACCTAACTTATTATATAACAAACAAATGCATTCTACAGACCAGTTGTTGTTTAGTGACGTCGCAAAAAGCGACCTCAGTATGGGGATGGGGTATAAGCTACCATTAACAAATAGGTTTTAAGGTATCACAGCACCTGACTGGTCAACTATGTATGACGTCACCAGATAACCAATGCGGCCTTTAACGTCCTACTGGCATGTGTATTTAATGTTATTATTCAAAAATGGCTAGACTAACCATCCCCACCTAACCTAATCAGAGGTTTAAGAATATACATTGTATAGGTTTTTTATTATTTTATTGGTAATAAGAGTTTACAATCTTGTCTTTTACAACAGTAAAATTGTAATGGGGAACAAGCATGATATTTCAGATGTTGGTCATAGCAATCCTAGATCCTGGTAATTTTTGTGAGGGAGACCAGTTCCTCTGCCACATCACATCTGGAACAGTAAATAGAAACCATATGAGCAACACATATTAATAATAATAATAAATCAGCAATAATAAGAAAGACAATATATGGCACACATCTAGAAATATACTTACAGCTTAGTAATATGAGGAGTCATCACACAGCGATACACATTTATCCTCTCCATCTATGCAAAATGTCTTTTTGCAGTTAGGCATTGCAAAATTAGAATATGCAAATTGAATTATCTTCCTACCGTTCTTATTATATTCCCCATGAAATATGATATTTTGTGATCATTGCTGCATTATATTCCCCATATTCAAATAAAGTTTCAAATTTATGTAGTGCAGCTCTCAAGTTCAGGTTGCATAATTGATAGACAATAAAATGGCATAGGCTCCGCAATAATAGGAGTCCATACTCTGTATGCGTTGTGTGAACATGTAAACTCTATAATCTTCAAAATAAGAGAGGAAGTCTTGTAAATAACGTGAATGGGATTCCATCTTAACCCCAAAACTGTCCAACAGGGCGATAATGGCTCCTGAAGGTTTATTGTGTACATATATAGTCATCCAATGACCCATCATCGTTGCAGGGAATTTCACATCTAAAGTATTTAAAATAAATATCACTGGCTCTTTATTTAATTTCTTGAAGATTCTCCGTACATTGTTCGCTAAATAACATCCGATATATATGGCTTCTTCCCCTAAATATATATTTTTCAACCCATTGTTTATTTCAAAACAATTCATGTTTCTTAGCCTCTCGTTTCACAAATAATACGTCGGTCAGCATTAATTTTCATAACCCCAGTAGTAGGGCCAAACAGCAGTATAACTATTTCCCACTATGGCTGTATTGAATTCCAATGTAATTCTTAAATTCCCTGTCGCTTCCAAGGAAACTGTACCCTATATTTCTTCTGGTAATAAATTAAAGGCCAGCAGTGTTTGTCCTTTAACGAACGATTCGTAGGACAAAATATTATCTACATTAAATCCTACAGCATTCAGGACCGTATAATATAATTTCGAACATTTATGGGGGAAATCACACGCGATATTAAATAAACTCGTGCCGTTCACCGAGATATATACGTTGCTCAAGGTGGAATTGTTGAAATATAATGGGTTTAAGGTATAATCTCCAGAAATGGCTTCCATATCAATAATGGCCATGTATAATTTCTCAGGGATCACTCCACCCCAGGGTTGGTCCACAGTTAATGATTTTTGGCCCTGCCCTAGAATATTAGTTTTTTAAATAGGGTTTTATCAAATATATACGTTACTGCTCCATTATTTTGGGTGAGTGCTCTGTTAATAGCTAGTAGTCTAGAAGGGAATGGGGTTAATCTATCGATCCATAAGCGGGCCATATTTATATTATATTTATAATTAGCAGTGGGTGTGTCACTGGCAATAACCCATTTATCACTATTTAACTCCAAACATATTCTTACATCTACATTATCCAGTATATATTCGCTAATAGATGCAATATCCAGCAGTAATTTAAAGCACGTATAAATGCCGTGTTCTTTCATATTAGCCATTTTCTCATCCTGATCTATCGTGGTCGTAGCAAAATACTGCGTATCAATTTTATTGGGTATCGTTAGCGCCTCTTCTTTATAAAAATGCGCTAGATGCTTAAAACCATCAATTTTACTTCTGGAAAGAGTCGTTAGCAGCTTTATATACGCCCAATAAGAAAATAAAGAACTACTTTCAACTACTTGTTCGTTGAAATACACCACTGTTTTAAAAAGTGTTTGTGATAATCCATTGGCTACAGTCACTTTTTTGCCTGAATCTATTACGGCGTCAGCTTCTGTTAATTCTGTCCCCACTTCTAGGGCTAGTGATGACATATCCAGGAAATGACCAGGAATGCCCGGGTTCTAAATTCTATATACGAGTCTTTAAATTTATTAATTCCTAAATTAACAGGTAAAATATATATATTTTTCCTGCTGGCTATAGTGAACTCAATCATACGTGCTGAATTAAGTTTGGGAAATCCATCTGTTACAGCCACTGCATAACTTTCCAAAGGGGATTGTAGCCCCGCTCCTAGTGTAGTAGTAGTATTCATGCTGGATGCCATGAAAGGAATAAATTGCATTTTATGCAAACACGTCATTATATCTCTTCTTCTTATTCTGTTTTGTGAAACTGCGAATAAGTGCTAATTTTGTGGCCTTAGCCTTTCTCTTAGACTTTTTCTGCCTTTTACCACCACCTAAAATCTGACGCCCTACTCCCATCAATGATTCGATCCCATGCTTCTTAATTGACTTTTTAAAGGAATGTTCGCCTGTTTGCATGTCTTGCAATACATTCTGACCCATACTTAAGACGGCAGGAGCGAGGGTTCTCATTAAAAATGGGGCTGCTTTACGGGCTAAACCAGTGAGGAAACTGAATATACCACCTCCTCTTATATGACTCCTATTGAATATTCTAATATCACTCAGCCCACCTCCTTTATATGAGGCAGGTGAGCTAATTAAGAATAATATTTCGTCTACAGACGGAGGGATGAAATTGACGCGCATTTTGTAGCTTGCAGATGAGTAATGAGGCTCGGAACTGTAATGTCCTTATTATATAGACCCAATTTGAGGTCGTATATGTAAAACAGCTGTTGTGCTTCCTCGTTTATCAAAATAAATAGGGGTGCCATTAGGATCGGTTACTGCAATACTTATACTATCCAGTACATTTGTATTTAAAGGTTTATATAGTTTCCAATTCGTGCTTTCACCGCCCTGCAAAGACACTACGTCCAATATATTCACTAATAAATTCCCGTACATCGTGGGTGCGATTTTATCGCAATAAACACATAAGTAATCCATCATGCCCCTGGGTTGTGGAGGGTAGGGACACGTGTCTGATATGGGTGTTTCATCCAAATAATTCTTGTGTACGTATATATCATAATTTTTATGCTGATCAGTTCCTAAAACCTTGCCAATACTCGCCCCAAAAGATAGGGAAATCCTGCATATTGCTCGATTATCGTCATAATACAATACATTCTCATCGCTGCTCGCGGTATTGAACTTTACCCTATTGGAAATCGATCCATATTTAATATATGCATCAGCATATCTTGGGAAATGCGTCTTATAGACATCCGACACAAAACTCAAATAGTTCTGTGAAAATATATGGGTAATTTCATTATTGATGGTGTATTTAATTTCCTTTATGCCACCAGCTAAAATATTAGTTTTTGGTAGAAATTTGTAATGTTTGTAACTAATTCCTTTAGCATCTAGGTACATAATTCTCACGCGGATATAACTCTCCAGATCATCCGATCTTATTATGTAATATGACGAAGGCAATAATATATTCTGGAGACACATTTCGTAGGAACGTCTAGAATCCAGCACGAGTTGATTATACAGTCTGTTTTCAAAAGCACTAGGTACATTATTAGGAAATAAATCTGTATTAGAAACACTAGTAGTGTAAATAACGTGGGAATCCATTGCTGGACTATGAATGAATAAACTAAAAACAAAACAGAACATCTATTTATACACTCACCTTTAGTAAGCTAGCCATGGTGCTCCTCCGCCAACTTTAGAGCGTTTAGTTTCTCCAGCAGCTGTAGTAGGAGCATACGCCCGTTTTCTTCTTAGTACCACGTCATCATTAAATACTTGTTTACGAGATTCTGTATTCCTAAACATTTCTCGTGGAGTTGAGGTTAAAGAGATGAATAATTTAACCAGCGGTAATTTTTCTCGTGGGAATACAGAGCGGTGAATTGTCATTTTAGTTAAAATATCATCAATTATGTTTATTCCAGTCACTGGCATTTGAGGATTCCCACTGACGTCCCATTGCACCATCTTGCTTTCATCAAAATAATTCAACAGCGAAGTAGCATAATCATGATCTTTAGCTTTCAATTTTAAATGTACCAAGTGTACTTTTGAAGGATTAGCTCGTACTGAAACTGGTGCTACTGGAGTACTTGCTGCTGGTGTTGGAGCTAGTGATGGCGCTACTTCTGCTTTTTTTACTACTGGTACTTTAGCAGGTCCCTCATCGATGGATTTACGAGGTACTAGATAATATTCTTTCATTTTTTATTTATTAAATAGCCTGGAAATTAAACTAGCAGCTATGGGAAAAATATACCGAGGATACTGCCTCCTTTGCGAGTCAATAAAATGCGCTTTTTGTTTGAAATTGAGGGTTTCTTACAAGCCAGTGTAAGGTGTCTCTGCATTTCTTCAATTTCACTATAACTTTCTTTTTAACCGGAAGCCTATTTTTCAGAAAATTTCTGAAAATCTCTGACAAGCAATGAATATGTGTTTTTTTAAACTGAGCAATCAATTTTTTCCTGGCTGAGGAATTAAGTTTGCTCAGCAAGGTCACCAACTCTCTGTACTTGTATATTAAGGGCTTCTTCATATCTTCAACAAATCATCAGCATCAATCCACTGATCAAATGAAGAGTCGTAGCCTTCGTACCTCACTTTATACTGTAATTTATTATTGGGTAATGTACGTTTACGTAGCACTTTCTCAATATTAAATGCAGCTGCTAAATGGGTTAGGGTTAATTCTTCCTTATATAACCCTCCATCAATAGGCTTGTTATTCAAATCTTGTAAAAAATATAATGGGATAGGCTGGCTTTTATCTATACGAATAATTCTGAAAATTTCTTCCGTGTTTTGTCTAGCAAAACCTTTCTTGAATGTCGAAATTCTGTTGGAGAGAGTAATGCGAACTGTGTCCCCGACAGCTAGTAGAGAACTAAGACCTGCTTTAGGTTTGTCCTTACTTTTATACATGAGATTGAACTGTTTCTTTATAAATTGTGGATGAGATAAAACATGAACGTCAACTGGAGTCCGACCACCTAACCCTCGGTGGGGTGTTGTGTTATACGCCTTTATGACATCAGGCAATATGGGCAGATATCTCGAGGTATTGTGCGCAGTCATATATTTATAAATCTTAGTTTTCATGGTACATATAAAGTGTTCGGCGATAGCGGCTTTTGTTTCTTGAGAAAATACGCTATACAGTTTAATATTTTTAGCTGCAAGCATTCGTTGCATATGAGAATTATAAAATTGACCCCCTCGATCTGTATTAATTTTACGTATTCCTTGGAAATATGAGGATTCCAATGTCTTTCAGAGCTTTACTCACAGTCTGTCCATCTTTGCGTTTCAGAGGTGCTACTTGCGCATATCGTGAAAAAATATCGACACAGACGAGAATGTATTTAATATCATCATTATGTTTAGCTAATAATCCCATTTCTGCTAAATCACATGCTAAATATATACGGGGTTTGGGACTCAGTACCTTTCGTCGCTGAAATTTGCGAGGTTTTAATGCATGCAAAGTGTAGGCTTTAGACGATTTCAAGTATTCTTTGACATCTGATAAAGTAATATCTGGCTTTATGGTTTTAGCTGCTTTATACAACCTATCAACCCCCCCTAACCCTCCTGAGGATGCGGGGTTATAATAAATTTTATCTAGCACGTGCTCCATCTTCTAATAAAGTGATATCGGATTGTATGGTTTTAGTTGTTTTATACATCTGATATACCACCCCCCCTAACCTCCCCTTGTGGTTGTTGTTGTGGGGAACACATCCTATACCCCCCCTAACCTCCCCCTTGTGGTGGTTGTTGTGGGGAACACCCTATACACCCCACCCCCCCCTAACCCCCCTTGTGGTTGTTGTTGTTGTTGTGGGGAACACATCCCATACACCTCACCCCCCCCTAACCTCCCCTTGTGGTTGTTGTTGTTGTTGTGGGGACACATCCCATCCCATCACCCCCCCCTAACCTTCCCTTGTGGTTGTTGTTGTGGGGAACACATCCTATACACCCCACCCCCCCTAACCTCCCCTTGTGGTTGTTGTTGTGGGGAACCCCCTAACCTCCCCCTTGTGGGGAACACATCCCATACACCTCACCCCCCCCTAACCTCCCCCTTGTGGTTGTTGTTGTTGTGGGGAACACATCCCATACATCACCCCCCCCTAACCCCCCCCTAACCTAACCTCCCCTTGTGGTTGTTGTTGTGGGGAACACATCCCATACACCTCACCCCCCCCCTAACCTCCCCTTGTGGTTGTTGTGGGGAACACATCCCATACACCTCACCCCCCCCCCCTAACCTCCCCTTGTGAACACATCCCATACACCTCACCCCCCCCTAACCTCCCCTTGTGGTTGTTGTTGTGGGGAACACATCCTATACACCCAACCCCCCTAACCTCCCCTTGTGGTTGTTGTTGTCATCTAGTACGGTCACCATTGGTATACACTTTCGTATGGTTGCTCACCAACAATATTGCTACGGAAGGTGATGCGTTCAGGGGTTTTCACTCCTGAATCCACCAATAAATATCCATAAGGTTTACTAATGGCTTTCTTGTAGATATCCAAAAGCTTTTTGATTCTTTTTTCCAAATAACTGCCGCCCTAAAGTCTCAATTTGAGCTAAATCTCTAGATTTCACTAATATGAAATGGGAGCCATTTAAACTTATACTTCTAGCATATTTCCCAGAGAAAAATATATTTTGGGTAATTAATATACACGAAATAGCGAGATGTCTGCCTTTAGTGAAGATATCAGACACAATTTTGGAATTGGCAGATTCGATGAACAAGTCATCAATAATAATTAAAATAAGTGAATCGTCTGTACGTTCATCTAAAGGGTTGATAATTTCAGGATGAGCTATTATTTTCTTGTTAGTTACTGGATCGTCTAGCAATGCTCTGTAACTGCCGCCGCATATAATAATACTGGAGAATTTCAGATGGTATTTTTGTACGAGTTTAGTGCACAAATGAGATTTTCCGCCATTGGAAAATCCTGCAATGATTATTCTACTAGGTTCATTGAAAATATCGAGTTGTTCTTCAGTGATAGGTGAACTATCCATGACTCGTGTTGGGTTTGTACTGACATAAGTATGATAAGGACATTATATTTAAACATGGAAGGTTTCATAAAAACATCAAAGTATACATTTCATATTTTTTATTTTTGCATAGAACATTTTCAAAACATAGGTTATGGACCAGGTTTTATAAAAAACATCAGAGTATACATTTCACAAATTTTATTTTTTATATAGAACAGAACATTTTCAACATAGGTTAGGGCAGACTGCATTTTCAGAACATCAGTGATGAGTCAGGCGCCGGCATTTTTTCAAACATCAATGACAGGTTAGGGGAGGTAGCAATTTTCAAACACAAAAGATAGGTTAGGGGAGGTTGCAAATTTTCTATCACCAATTTCTTCAGTCACTAATTGTGAGGATAAGTCTTGTTCACCAGTGCATCGCGTTTTCCCCACATATTGAACATGGGCTGGAATCCACGTCTCACAGGACGTGCAGCAGCAGGTTCATCCTCCTCATTCTCTTCTTCATGTATTTCTGCTCGAGGTATATCGGGGTGTCCATACGCCAAAGACTGTGTAGGACTCAGTACATAACGTTTATCGTCAAAGGCGGACAATCCACGTTTTGTAGTGAGACAGGTACACATACGGCCTTTAACATTCCTAATAGATCTGGATTGGAACCTCTGCCCAATATTCAACTTTAAAGCACTTTGGAAAGCTGCTTGAGTGAGTTTAGACTGATGATAAGTGGGAATTCGTTTACAACGACAAATCTGAACCTGATCTTGAGTAAGAATTGAGTACATTTTAGGCTTCAATGCAATGAGCTCCTTATTAATTTTGGCTCCAACTTCCGATTTTAACAAACCCAGTTGACTTTTGCGGGAGTCATCGAAATAGGGATTTTCAGGATGGAAATTGCTGAAATCCATATGCTGAGACAAAGGCAGTTTATTTAATTCCTCAAAAGCATTTGGACAGGTTAATTCAATCAAATACTAATCTGTATCCGTATACAGCAATCTAGCTTTGTCTCCATAATGAGCTTTGACGGTGTTGTACCAAAAATCATATAGGATCCTCTTAGCTATTTGCAGGATCTGGAAGCCCAGATAGGTTGGTGTATTGACTTTAAGTGATTGTTTCTTGACCGTGCAAATGACTCTGTCTTCGCTCAACAAAATACTCCGTTTGAAGAACGGATTGCGTGCAAGCTTTTGGAATTTGTCACGAGATGTAACTAAATAATGCTGATCATAATATTTACTCACATTTGTCAAACTCTTGCTGTAAATTGCATTTGATACCAGCTTGAAAGCTTTACCCTTAATGGCGCAAGGTGTATTTGTACGTTCACGAGCATTTGTTTCAACAAATTCCTTAAGGTACTTACTCTGTCGGAATTCATAAACTGCATTTACCTTAGCAACTTCTAATCCCAATTTTATCAGCATCTGAAGCAAATCTAAACTGACCAAGTAATCTTTTTGGGGGAGATGTGAGGCAATTAATTTATTGTTTTTCTTGGGGAGTTTGCGATCTTCGGCATTTAAAATGTGTTTGCTATAATTGGACAGAAGATCAGTTGAAATATTAGCATGTGACAGGGTTAAGGGCAAATCATCGGTGTATCGAGCCACCTCAGGTGCGACATGCTTGGTATCACACATGACCCAATTCCCCTTATCCCCATCACATGTAATATTTTCCAATCCTTGATGGAGCCAATCATCGCATTCGGCAGCAGATAATTTAAGGATTCCGCCTTGAGGAAGGAGTTCTGTCATACAGGTGGCGTATAGGCCATTAAAATCTAAATACAAAATATATTTATCAGTGCTAAAAGGATCAGCACCTGTATGCTCATTTTCTACACGTGTGTGTTGTCGTACAACAGAGGTAAATCCGCCTCTTAGATTTCTACGCAATACATCGTACAAATGGGGATCAGAAATAGAGTCCAAGACAACTTGACTCTTAAACAAGAAAGCGTTCCATGCAAAACTATATAACGAGACATAGTGTGTAATGCCTAACTTGTACAGCTCACACATGGTCTTGCGCCATAGAGTGAACACATCACACAATAGTCCAGTGCCTACTTTTAAATAGACCTTCAAGTAATCCCCAATGGTCTGGCATCCCGCTAATCTAAAGACTTCTTTGGCCTGTATATACGCGTTCTCGCTTATGGCCTCGTGCTTTAAACTATTGAAAAAGGCTTCGAGAGGAGGAAGAGCCGGTTCATCTAATTTCTCCAAAGATGAAACAATCATAACAGAATACTTGTTTGCCTGTCTTCAATAAATGGTGGGCGGCTGCAGGGACGTCATCTAGCATAACTGAGGTGTAAGTGGTGGGTTTACCTTCCTTGATATGTTCTTTAGCTAGTTTTTCCAGCCCGCCATTTAGTAAAGCCAGACTATCCATAAACCGAAGTTTACCGATATCTACTTTCATGAACTTAAATCCATCTTTGGAGGCAATATCAATTTCACGATTAGGGAGGTTAGACAATTCATTTAAAATTACCCCGAGGTCATAAGCCGCATTGTGTGAGAATGTATACAAATATTTATAAGAATTTCTGCACAACATGTTACACCTACTGCAATAGGCTGCTAGATAAATATTAAATTCAATAGCATGATGATGGTGCTTGTCTTTATCTGATTTAAATGGTCTATAGCACATTTCACATGTGGTTTGACGTCTGTAAGCTTGCCAATGTTCACGTGTCATAGATATTTTGTATTAAGGCATGGTTGATTTAATTCTCTTCCATGACTTCTTCAAAGTATCTATGAAATGATTCACAGGGTCATCCCCCATATACGTTAATTTATCTACCACCTCCAATTCCCTGTTGATGATGATAAAAGCATATGCCACGGCTTTGTGACGCTTCTCAATCATACCTTGGGGATTGGCGGGATCCAACAAGCACCCGAAATCATAATATGCTGTGTGAGAAGGCCCATACGCACGACCGTAATTTTTTAACTTGATTTTATGACCTTCAGGGTAAAAATTCAATGTTTGTTTAACTTCACATGACTCTTCGTGATCCCGCATCGCATCAGGCGACAAATGAATTAAACATGAATGAGAGAAAATATGATTATCTAGTGCTCTGCTTAATTGACGACGCATGTTACAGACATATTGATTGAAATCTTTAATGAGCACAAGATGCTGATCCTTTAGCATGAGCAATGGTACTTTAGGAGCAGAATGTTCCTTACCTTTCCTAGCTAAGCTAATGTAGTACCTATTATCTTCACGAGTGAGCACATAGATAAATATACTTAATTTATTTATACTTTCTATTTTATTGATGTTATCATACGTTATGGGAATTTCAATATCCTCACTCCAACGGACAAATCTAAGACACTACCTGGCAGACTTGGAACGCCAGCCAATGTTGCGTAAGTCCATCCCCCGAGCAAGGCAATGTATGCAGCTAAACATTGGATCAAACATATATTTTGTTTCCCTTTAGGGTTGAAAACATAATTTTTGCCACGCAATTTATCTGGATACGGCACGTATTCCCCAAGACGGATAGGATGCTGGACTGCTATGGAATTGATATAAAAACCAGAAATGCTCTGTATACCTAGATTCGAACCTTCTGTCTTGGCAAAGAACTCTTCTAACTTATTATCCAATTCGGCAATCCATTGATCTACGACAACACTGGCCTCATGCCTAGTTACAGTGCGCTGTTCAGTCCTTATAGGCAACTCCCCCTCAAAATCAGGTTCATTTTTTTATGAAGCCGTTGTAAATTAAAAGAAAAATCCGGGTAAATTAAAAGGGCAGGAGGGAAATTTTGATGAACGGCATCAAACAAGGATTCTATTTGCCGAATAAAATAATCACGATGTAAAGTTAAATAATGGGCAGGATCTCCTTAGCCATAATCTGGGATGCTATATGAATGGCGTATGTACCCCCATTAAAATTATTGATCACTTCAAGCACTTCGGGTTGAGGAGGAAGTATAACATCTACCTGCTGTTCCTGAGGTGGTGGCGGAGAATTAGCGATAGGCTGGCTGGCTTCCACGTCTAAATCTGCTTCCCAAACCAAACGCAGGGAGTCCTCATCCTCTAGATGGTTACCTAGTATTAAAAGAATTGAGATTTTGAATATAAAATATAAATTTAATATAGTAATGTTTATAAATAAATAATGCAAGGTTATGTGAATAATCACTGAGGATGATACTTACGATCTGGACTTGGCCTGCTATTGCTACTATCTTCTAATGGCGGTGTATGAGCCTGACTAGTGCTAGGTTCTCCAGCACCACCCCCTCCTCCTCCAGGAAATTCCTCATCCAACTGTTCAAAAGATGACCCTGAAAAAGAAAAACATTAATTATTTTTATAGATGTTAGTTAGCATTCATAACATATATATATTTTTAAATGACTGATTAATGATGGGAATAGTGCAATATTACCTCAGATTAATAAAATTAATAATGAATACTGATGATGGTATTAACTTACTTTCGCTTTGAGGTGATGATGCTTCTGAGGTCTCAGAATCAGATCTGGTGTTAGATTCTGTATCGTCATCAACATCCAGATTCATACAAAATGACAGGTTTTGGGGTCGCGACCTCTGGATCACAGTAATATTGCTTATGTGAATAAGAAAAATATTACTGAAGCTGGTAGGTAATATTTTTTTATAAAATATCACATACTGCTGGTGCAATTCTATATAAAATTATTTGATCATAAACGAAGCAAGTGCTGCTGATATTAATATTACTCACGACTGGTGCAGAAGATTTTGGAGCACGAGGTGCAGACTGTATCATAATGTCCACGAGGGATATTAGCGCACTGGGGACAGCATAACACACACTCACGACGCGAGTTGGCTGTATATGAAATACGACATTCCATGCACTTTACATCGCACAAGTGCAATTTCCCCTGCTTTGGGTTCTTGCAGAAAGGACAAGTTTCCATGGTTGTGTATTGTTGTTGAATAATACAGAGGTTTGTTGAAAAGCCCAGGAGCGATGCTGGCTTCTTGTGCAGGCTGGGAGGGCTAGAGATGAACTGACCCATTGACTGGGAAATGGCGGCCAGGTCAGCTTACCTGTTATGCTGCCAAACGTACGATGCTGCTCAAATTGTGGTACGACATTTGGGTAGCTATTATAGTTTTGAACTTATTACTGCATAATGAATTATTACAGTTGCGGATGACTAAAATGTATATTCTTTAACCTCTGATTAGGTTAGGTGGGGATGGTTAGTCTAGCCATTTTTGAATAATAACATTAAATACACATGCCAGTAGGACGTTAAAGGCCGCATTGGTTATCTGGTGACGTCATACATAGTTGACCAGTCAGGTGCTGTGATACCTTAAAACCTACTTGTTAATGGTAGCTTATACCCCATCCCCATACTGAGGGCGCTTTTTGCGACGTCACTAAACAACAACTGGTCTGTAGAATGCATTTGTTTGTTATATAATAAGTTAGGTTAGGATGGTTTGATAGGGTTTATGAAATGAATAACAGAAAATATAAGCAATGAGCGAAAATATGAGCCATTGTAGCTGAATATCGACTCTGGAGAAGCGCAGAGTTCAGTTGAGGTATTAAGCCAGATTAAGAGTTCACACTTATGTGTGAACCTCCTGGGATCCGCATTTAGCGCGTTGACGCCTCGCGCCGCATTAGGGATGATGACGTCAGAAAAGAAGGTAACTGCAGAAGGCCTTATTTCAAAACATGAGAGGCTTGCTTTTACTGAATGAGTATTTTGATTTGTTATATGCTACAGTAAGGTGTGGGAGGCATGTTTTTTGAGCGACTGTGAGACGTGCATATATATTTATGCATGTGCAAAATACATTTATGCATTTATGCAGCAATATTGGATTACTACTGAAATTGCATTGAAGTCACCACGCCTTGCAGGGGACTGTTTTCATGCAAATGGTTGATAGTGGGTTTTCATTTTAATTTGCCCTATGCGAAATGAACGAGCCTTCAAGAAAGATTGACACAGCTTAAATTACATTCTCTAGAAAGACGAAGAAGACATAGGTGTAACATGATAGAGCCGTGACTGATACGCCAAGTCACGACCTTTTAATCCCCTTGAACGTACCTGTGCAGGGTCACTGAGCGGCTACCTGGTGACGTCATTGACCATTAGCGATGTCTGTGCAAGGGTCACCGGGGTCACGAAAAACACACGACACAAGTCGTGTTCGCTGAAAAAAGCAAAATGGACACGATTTGTGTCTTCCCCCCACTACTATTCCCCTCGTGATTACACCCCTATTACCCACGTGGTTATACCTCTATTACCCATGTGGTTATACCCCATTACACACTTGGTTATAACTCCTTTACCCACGTGGTTATACCCCAATTACACACGTGGTTATACCCCAATTACACACGTGGTTTTACCCACGTGGTTATACCTCCATTACCCACGTGGTTATACCTCATTACACACGTGGTTATGCCCCCATTACCCACATCCTATACCCACCATTACACACGTGGTAATACCTCCATTACTTTCGTGGTTACACCCCCATTACCCACGTGGTTATACCTCTATTACCCATGTGGTTATACCCCATTACACACTTGGTTATAACTCCATTACCCACGTGGTTATACTCTAATTACACACGTGGTTATACCCCAATTACACACGTGGTTATGCCCCCATTACCCACGTGGTTATACCCACTATTACACACGTGGTTATACCCCCATTATACAGGTGGTTATAACCCCCATTACCTACGTGGTGATACCCCATTTCACACGTTGTTATACCTCCATTACCCACGTGGTTAGACCCCATTACACGCGTGGTTATGCCTCCATTACCCACGTGGGTATACCCCATTATCCACGTGGTTATACCCCCTTTATCTACGTGGTTATACCCCCATTACCCACGTGGTTATACGCCTATTACGCACGTGGTTATATGACGTACCCCCTTTACCCACGTGGTTATACCCCCATTACCCACGTGGTTATACCTCATTACATATGTGATTATACCCCTATTCCCTTCGAGGTTATACCTACATTACCCACGTGGTTATACCCCCATTACCCACGTGGTTATACCCCCATTACCCACGTGGTTATACCTCCATTACCCACGTGTTTATGCCCCATTACATACGTGGTTATGCCCCATTACACACGTGGTTATACCACCATTATCCAGGTGGTATTACCCACGTGGTTATACCTCCAT